CAGGAAAAGGATTTATTCATTTTCCTATCAAATCTATTCTATAGAGATTAAGGGCTTCTTCTGAGAGGTAAAGAAAAAGTCTACATGCCCTTTATCATTCGGATTGTTAACAAAAAAGCTATTTCCTTGCCTTAAGAGTATATGGAAAATAAAAAACATCAGGAAAGATGTTTTCTGACTCTTCATTCCTGTTGCCCACAATCCTGGCAGATGGCATTCCCAAAACATCTTCTCTTCCCATTGTCAGGTGTATCACCTGATGCCCTCTTCAAGCACAGAACATTCTAACAGCAATTAGGAAAGATTTCATGTTTTTCCTGGAAATGACAACAGGGAGTTATAGATTTTTGAATGTTCATAAAATTACTGACTATAGAAAGAAGAAACTTGTCCAGCCTATCAAACTGGCAAAAGTACAACTGATTCTTCATCTAAAATTAGACATATTAACAAATTAGTTATTAGTTACAAGTGTCCTTTACTTATAATTCTAATTATTCCATTAAGGCTACTTTTGAAAGATAAATCTTAAAGAAATAACTTGTCTTTCTTTCCAAAAAAGGAATCTAGGTGGTAGTTATCTGGACCTGGTGAAAGGATTCTTAGTATACTACTTGGTTTCTTTAATTTGTAGAAAATTGATTTTGGCTTATAATGCACACCTTCTTTCACTGTAAAGAGATAATTCCTATTTTTACAACTTGCATAGACCCTTCAACTGAAGTGACTAAATTTTCACCTATGTAAAATAAACATTCTTCATCAGTATATATTCATTTTCATTAGTGTCATAATCCACAGTCGCTTCCAATTCTGAAAACATATAATCAAGGGGCTTTATGGCACACTTATCTGCTTCTTAAAGTTTTATGTATATTTAAGTTCCTAACAAATATACTCAAAGTAGAGGGAATTTCGAATCAAAATTACTGCCTTTGAAAAGACTATTCTGTTTTCAAGAGATAATTAATACACACATAGAATTCAGTCTTTCACAGAACCACTTGCCCATTCATTCAATTTACAAAAAAGAGTCATTAAAACATTAAACCTAGGTAAACTGATATAATCAAACTCAACAAAATGGCACTGCAATTATTTTAAAAGATAGCTACCCAGATAGAGAGAACCTAAGTCAAATAAACGAGCAGTCCTAATGATTTAGAATAACTGAAAAATCAACGCTAGGCACGAAAAAAGGAAGGAAAAAAAGCTGTGGTAACAATTTCAGTGATCTAGACCTCCCCATTCCTCAACCTCCCACACATGCACATGCACGCGCGTGCGCACACACACCCAATTCCACCTTTCTTGGTCCCGTTACTAGATTTATTTCTTTAATGTTACTTGGTGAAGGAAGAGAAAGCAGGCCAGGAAATCAAAAGAGCAAGTGCATGAACACTTTTATAAATAGTCCATGAATTGCAAGGGGCCTACAAAAAGGGAAAGGAGCCACTTATCTGGAAAACAATTTCAGTCACAATTTTTAAAAATGTAGTCTTCTGATTTTTTTGTTTTTATTTTTGCCTAGGACCCCAGAAATTTTAGTTTATTCCTCAGTTTTTGATTCCTTTAAAAAATTAGTTTATCAGAATACACAAGTCTTATCATAGTTATAACATCCAAATTATAACATGACAAATACACAACACTTTTTCCAATAGTGCCTTTATCACAATTATCTGACTGCCTATAAGGAACCAGTTAACTAGGCATTTTTGCTCTTTAATTTTTATAACAACAATGAAGTTGTTATTATCATCCCTATTCTATAGATGAAAAAAAGAACAAAAGCTAATTTGTCTAAAGTCTCATTCAATAAGCTGAAATCTGAACACAGGCAGTTGGAACCTGAATCTATGCTCTTTAACATGAAACTATGTTGCCTCCATCTAAATGTGTACATTAAAGAAATGATAAAATATAAGATAGGAAAGGAAAAAGATAGGAAAGAAAAATATTTTCATATACCGAATTCACTGCCCAAATGCCCAAATTTCACCACTCAAAAAGTTACAGTATATATAAATTTCTGATTTTTTTCAAACAAAATATTTTCCCATTTTTCACAATATTTTTTTTTTTATAAGGATCTTTTAAATGCATGTGCTAAAACTAATTTATTTCTTCCTTTATGGTTGGGCCTATAAGTAATTTTTAATTTTCAGAAGTAAATAACACTGCCACAAATGTACTTACACACAAAGCTCTTTTTTTTTTACATAGCATTTGGGTTGTTTTCTTAATACAAATGAATAAAACCTGAATTACTGGGTCAAAGGGTATTAATTATTAAGTCTCATCTCTTAATACATACTGAGCAATATGAATTTATGTTTCTGTAGTATATAAACACTCATTTCAATGTATCTCACCAGCATTTAGTTTTCTTTTTAAAAGATCTTTGTTAAATAAAAAGGTGGAAAAAGGGAACATTTTTTTTTTTTTTTTTTTTTTTTTACGCCTACAGCACCTGGTCTTCCTAGGTGGTCTCCCATCCAAGTACTAACCAGGTCTGACCTTGCTTAGCTTCCGAGATCAGATGGGATCGGGTGTGTTCAGAGTGGCATTGCCATAGACTATTTTCATTTCTTTATTTTGTTCTTTTCTGTCCACTCATCTGTTAAGATCTAGGTTTTTTTCTCTTATTGATTTATATGTTTATATTTTAACATATTAGCCTATTATTTTAAGCCTATTTCTTGTATTTGTATTTTGACAACTATAATTCATTTGTGATTTCATTTCAGTGTGATATTGAGAGGTTGTACAATTTCAACTATCTACTCAGTTTACTGATATAAAAAAATGCCCAAACTACTCACGTAATTAGGTCTTATTTAGACAAACCATTGGATCTTTCATTATAAAATTAGAAACTAACTTTCTTTACACATTTTCAAACATACATACACACACACGACTACATACCAAAGATTGTTAATATGCTCAAATAAAAATTTACATTAAATTGATCATCTTAGAGGATGAAATCTGTTCTGGACAACAAGCTGAAGACAAGCACTAGTGAAACCTTAAAGAGTGTGAATATGAATTCACCTGTACTTTGTTCAAGATTTCTCAACCTATACATGAACAGCAAAATGGACAGAACAGTCATGACACCAAGGAATACCTATGCTTGAAAATCCAACTCTCTCTAGTGGTCTCAAGATCTATTCAAGAATAGGAGGATTGCTACCTCTCCTTAAGAGAAATATAAGTAATCTTTTCAAAAAACTTTAAAAAAGACTTTAAAAATAGTTGCTTTATCTTGGTATCAAATACCCATTCCATTACCTTTTGAAATAGTTAGTGCTGGAGACCACTGTGACCGTAGAATATCAAGACAAATGCTGCCATTACTGTTAATATTTGGATGATAAATTCTTGTTGTAAATGCAACCTACAGAAAAAGGAAAAAAAATTGTGAACTGGTTTATTAGTATCACAGGTAACACATAATAACAATTGCCATATCCCAATTACCTTAGGTGGTTTAAAGGGGTAATCTGTTGGGAAATGAATTGTCAAGAAAAATACTCCACCCTGATAGGGACTGTCATTCTGTTGATAAAAAGAAAAGTGGGGTTAAAATGAGTGAATTACATAAACTATTTATTCTGAAATTAACCTGAATACTTACTGGCCCCATTATTGTAGCTTGCCAATGGAACACTGAAAAAAGAACAAAAAATCACCATTAAGCAATATCCACACTATATTTACATCATATCATTCCCTGTCTAATCTCAGTTCATTTATAAGCAATGAGTCCTGGGCAGAATGAGGAATCTAAATCAAGTTTGAGTCTGAAGAGAGAAAAAAGACTAGCATGGTCTAGCACACTGATAAGGTACCCAATGAAAAAGTATTTGGGCTAAAACATGAAAATTCATCTCAAGGAGACAAAATCCTTGCCAAAGCTCAAAGTTCCACTTTTAAACAGGGATTTCTCACCCCAAAGAGTAAAAAAAAAAAAAAAAAAACCCAAAACTTTACTCTTTGATGTGCTGTATCATTTCTCCAATACAATTATATACAATATATACTCCCCTTTTATAATACTGCTATAGAGCAGAAATGTGATGTCAAAGTGAGTAATACTCAAATTAGGAAAGGATGGTTCTTACAATAAAAAAAATTCCTAAGATCTCTCACGTGTATGTCTTTAGAATTACTGATCCCTTAATAAATGAAGAAAACATTAGCTGAAAGCCCCAAGCTTGATTACAAGCTCTAAGAATAATCCAAATAAATTATAAAGTTGTTTAATAAGGAATCTTCTCTTCAAACTGCAAAAAATGATCCTTGTTCCATTTCAAAGAGTGTCACTAAGTACAGTACAGAGACTAAAATAGCCAGAGTTTTCACTTACAAGCAAGCTACTTTTCACTTAACCTTCACACTAGGATCTGGGCAAACTAAAGAACTTGTCACTGAGGTTGCATGTGAACAATCCAAACCAGATAATTCTTATCACAAGGAGGAAATGTGAAGACTAAGAAGCCATGTGAAAATTTACTGGGATATCAGTCCACATCCTTCTGAACTCCTGTATATGAAACTGTCCCTATGGTTGGTTTGCTACTCACTGAAGCCCAAATCCACAAACAGCAGCCTGTTTATTAGGAATTAAAAACAAAAGATAGGTATTGCTGAGGCTCCCCTTCTTAGATCATCATCACTAGCACTAAGAAAAATTCCTCATAATTTCTGCCAATCAACTTTTTAGTGGATTAAGTAGCTAAGTAGAAAGTCACTTGGAGCCACTAAGATTGGTCCTAGTATCTTCAACAAAGGTCCCTAATGTCCTGTTATAAGAAACAAGAGAGTCTCATTCTGTTTTTAATCACAAATATAATTCCAATTAAAAAAAATATATACTGATAACTGGAGTAAACAACTCCAATAATGAGGCTGAAAACCCTATTAGACAAAAGGATGACCAAACTATAGGTCAAGTGACCTGTTTTAAAATAGGTCCTGTTCTTCTATTTAATCCTTTTACATTGTTTAAATTTGTGGCTATAAATGGGAGGATATAACTATACCTGCATCCTTGCTCAAGGCTGCAAGAGTCAAAAAAAAAAAGATAAGGAACAAGAAAGCATTTAGATAATAAAATATACAAATATCGAGACATATCAAAAAATTAAGTTAAACTTTCCATTAACTATTTAAGTCCTACTTTTTTCTTCCGAGTTATTTCAAGATCAATCTTTTTCTTGTTAAAAAAAAAATATACTAGGTTTAAGAAGTTACTAGGAAAATTTAAATGAGAACAAGTTCTTGGCTAACAAGTTTTGTGATTTCCCACTCTTCCTCTACAGAAAACAAAGAGTATTTGTGCTCCCAAAAACTGGAGAACAGAGAAGCCTCAGAGGTTTGGAGAAATCTTCTAAGCTGGGAACTAGAACGTTTACGATTACAAGGAAGATACCCTTCCTAACAGAAGATGTGGGAAAATCAATGTTTTCAAGTAATACTGCAATCTCTTTCATACTTGGCACTCCAGAAAGTTGAAGATATTCTAGTGTATCTAAATAAGATTCTTACATTATCAAGAACTCTTACAAGCAACATCAATAGGCTATTTCATAAGTAATTCATATCTATTTGGTTAGTAAACCATGTTTAATATTCCCCAACAGAACTAAAAGGATGTAAACCACTAGCATTCAAAGCTCATTAACACTCAAATGCTAACCTTTATTTACTGATTAACTTGTCTTCACCCTTATAAAGGTTCAAGTACTGTTGAAAGTACTGTTCAAGTACTGTTTCGTTCATCAGAAAAAATGAACGAAATCACATAAATAGGGCTGTCTCTAAAACAGGAGAGAAAAGGACAATGAAAATTGCTAATGTAGCAACTAAGATAGTGGTATTTGTCTCTCATTAAAATGATCTAGAATCTACAATACCAACAAAAAGCAGAGAAAGACAAACTAAAAACACATTAGGATGAATTAAATTATCGAAGCATCTGAAGACCTACCGTTTAAATCTTAATTGAATATTCTGCCACTCTGGTTAAAAATAAAAATATCTACTGGAATCACTGCCTTAGGTCGCCTTCTGGATTTCTCCTAAAGCTAGTAAGCTCTCAAGAGTAGAAATATAAAAAAGGAGGAGAGAAGGTAGTGAGAGAATATCTAACCCGCCTCAAATCACAATGATTTTGTAAATAGTTCAAGAATCACTACAGGTCCCAAGTAGAAAGAATTATAGAAATAGTAACTGGGTAAAATATTTGGCCATAACCATAAAATATTGCTATATTTTATAGAAAAACTATTTCAAAAACCTTTCATTGAAAAATTAACCTTAGGAACTATTCAAAATAAAAATTTGTGGTACTGAATTTAAGTTTTGATAATCCAAAAAGAAAAAACAAAAAAATTCCCACTGCCACCTTGGTTTGATGCTGTCGAACCAAATTACACAAACCGAAAGCTACACTTTCTTTTATAAGAATTTAAATGTGAAGTTCACAGCTTGATGATCACTCTTTAGTATCCTAAAAGATGAAGACTTGAGACCAAGAAGTGAAAATATCAGTTATAGTTTGAGACTGAATCTCAAGAGATCTACATTTGAATTCAAGTACAGATAGATCTCTGGAGTCACATTCACCAAGTGTTAAAAACAAAAGAAAATCAAGTAGATTTTATGACCAATAAATTTCCAGCTTACTTCTCTTTTCAAGAACTATACTTCCTCCTGCTTACCAGATCTTAGCAGAAAGTGTTAAAAAATGTAATGGTACATTAAAATCTGGATATTTAAAAATATATTATTTTAAATGTAAAATAAAGATTACTTTATTCTTACACTACATACCAATAACATGGTGCTGAGGTATTTAGAGGTAGGATAGTCGACAGGAGCTCAAAGTTTCATTTTGGCCAAGTTTCTCTCTTCCTAGGATTAAATACTGCCTCTTTTTAACAAAAGATGATGAAGTGCATTTAGCTACCTAATTACTCTTTGTTTTATTCTTATGTGGATCAAAGACTTTTTGACAGTAATTCATCCTCAAATGTTCTCAAATACCCACAAAAATTTTAAGTATATCAGCAAACACTATCTAGATGAGTAATTACTTATTCTCTTTTACAAGATATGTACTATTGACAGTTTAGTAGTGACTCAAGATACTCAAAGTTGAATAGGAAGGCTAGGAGTTCAGGAGGAGGTTATTATTTTTTAAACAGCTTTACTAACAGATAATCCACATACCATATGATTCATTCATTGAAAGTGTACAATTCATTGGTGTTTAGTAAAGTTATGCCAACTATCACCACAATTAATTTTAGAACATTTCGTCATCCCCAAAAGAAACCTGATATCCATTAGTCATCACTCTCCATTCCCCCTAAATCTCTAGTCCTATGCAACCATTATCTATTTTCTGTCTCTATGGATTTGCCTGTTCTGGATATTGCATATAAATGGAATCATTATAATATGTGGCCTTTTGTATCTGGCTTCTCTCACTCAGCATAATGTTTTTAAAGCTCGTCCATATTGTAGTATATATCAGTACTTCATTTCTTTTATTGCCAAATAATATTCCATTGTATAGATATATCACATTTATCCCTTCATCAGTTGTTGGGTATTTGGGTTGTTTCCACTTTTTGGCTATTATAAATAATGCTTCTATGAACATTCATATACAAATTTTTGTGTGAACATATGTTTTCATTTCTTTTGGAATGAAATGAAATATACCTAGGAGTGAACTCACTGGGTCATAGGGTAACTCTACATTTAACTTTCTGAGGACCTTCCAGACTGTTTTCCAAACTGGCTATACCATTTTATAGTCCTACCAGCAATGTATGAAGGTTCCAATTTCTCCACATGCTCATAAATACTTGTTATTTGACTTTTTGATTCTAGCCATCCTAGTAGCTGTAAAGTAGTAAGTATCTCATTATGGTTTTGATTTGCATTTCCCTGATAACTAATGATGTTGAGCATCTATCAATGTGCTTATTGGCCATTTGTATATCTTTTTTTGGAGAAATGTTTACTTAGATCCTTTACTTATTTTCAAATTGGGTTATTTATCTTCGTATTGCTGAGTTATAGTTTTTATAAACATATTTTAGATAAAATTCCTTATCAGATATATGACCTGCAAAATTTTTGTGTCTTTTCACTTTCTTAAAGGTATCATTTGCAGCACCTAATTCTAACTTACCTATTTTTTTTCTTTTATTGCCTATCCTTTGGGGGAGTTTAATTTAATTCTCCAGGGTAACAACTTTTCTATTGAGAAAGAAATTTGATAGTACTATGATAGAAGCAAATCAATGGCAAATTACTTTAGTACACTGAAGAGAACTTCAAAAATGAAATCTAATCCCTAGACTTCAAATGCTATAAATTAAAGCTCAGTTATTCTCAACTTTGAGGAATTTGCCTGAAATAAAACCACTCTTTCAATTGAAAGTCCATACTGATGTAGGTACACTATATGATACCATGAAATGACAGAACTAGAATTCAACAGAAAACTTGAGAACCAGAAAACTTGGGTCTACTTTAAGAACCATCATGAGCCTCTCATCAGATATGTCTTTAAAATAGTTTACAATTTCTATTTCACTCACCCAAAAGAATTGTTATTGAGCAGCTTAAATGAGAATAATGTGTGTTTA